CTAGAGATATCCTCATACATTTCCTCCACCTCCTCATCGGGATGTGCCGAGGTTGGTGCGTAAAACTGTATGACCTTCAGCGAATACCGTTTGGTGATCTGAGTATATAAGGTACACAACCCTCGTCGACACACTCTCAATCTTTACAACGTTGTTAACGAGAGACTTGTGGACGATAAAGCCGACACCTCCTTGGGACAGATGATCACCCTCCCGGTGATAGAGCAAGTTGCCGGATTCGAGGATTACCGTGTCCTCCCCCTCTCTTCGGACTTAGGATAATTCTACGCGTAACTTGTCTATCTCTTCTTCCAGCTCCACAATCTTTTCCTCAGTCCTCAGGGTGCGTGCGTTGTATGTTGCCAGGTCGAGTCGTCTTAGGTGGCAACCGAACCTCCACCGGAGATTCTTAGCACCCCCTGCCCCGCCGTTACCATGGTCGCCACCGTAGCCAGGAATAGCGGGGCCGCCGGGGACTGGGGCCCGTTTCTTTGTTACTCTCATTCATAGGGGGTATTTGCCATAGTTGCCACGCTTGGCGAGCGGGTTGGCAACCGCAGTTTTTTTATTGTAAGTTTGTTGTTATCAGGAAGATGCTACTGCCCATCTCCTGTCTTTTTCCCTTTGTCGCCTTTTACGACACCCACGGGAAGATATGGGGTAGTGGATATTCTTAACCGCCACTACACGGCACGTAAACATTATTATTAGTTTGTTTTATTTTGTTGTAGTACCAAGCTCAAGGTCGCGTCGTATAGTTTGTTACGGTCCTGGATATTTTTAGTTGATTTGTCCTTGGATAACAGATGAAAATAATGATTATGTATTTATTATTAATTTTGTTTTATTATGGTTATTAGATTAATAATTATTTATTTATTAATAAAATGTTTTTCAATAAAATAATTATAAATATTAAACTTTATAAAAATATAATAGAAATAAATGTAAGTATATTATTTAAAAATTGGTAAACATGTATACGAGCCGTAGTAGCTCAGATGGTTAGCGCTCACTGCAAATTTCACACTTTTTTTATATAGAGGGGGCAAACGAGTATGCGGCTCACCTGATGGTAAGTGACTACCGCCGCCGATGAACAACTACAACACCAGGGGTGTTGCAGATGCATTGCTGGCCTGTTGAAAAGGAGTAGGTACTTTTCTTGAAAGCCCCTAAGTCGTATCGGTCCGGAAAAATTGCTGGTAGTAAACGATTCCACAAGGAAGTTGTGCGAGGAAGAAAACTTCTTCTAAATCGCACAGTGGTGGACCGACAATCATCCAGATGGTATGAATGGTATCGCGAATTCTGCCGCGATGTGCGATGGTAAAATTTAGCGGCTAGAATTAGTCCGAACAATTCCTCAGAGCACTCCCCGTGATAGATGCGATAAAATACGCAAAGTGATCCAACATCTCTACGCAGTGCCAGTGAGTAAAGCCGATCGAAAAGAACTCGGTCGTCGACAATTCGAACCGCTCTGCGCTGGATGCGGTCAAGTGAAAGGAGCTGGCACTGGGGAGCCCCTGCCCAGAAATGGGAACAGTATTCCATGTGAGCCTGAACCTGCGCCTTGTAAAGTTGCAAGCGGTGTGCCGGCATGAAATACTGTCCCGCTCTACTGAGCACGCCAAGCTTTTTAGAGGCCAATTTGGCCTTCTCTTCCAAGTGACCACGAAACTGCACGTCATTCCCATACTGGCTGAGCCAAAACCACGGGAGTGTCTTGAAATTGAAGAGATACGACAAAGGGGTTCTTTTTAGCGGTAAACGTGCAAACTTGTGTCTTCTTGGGATTGAACTGGACTAGATTCCGTCGCCCCCCAGTCTGAGACTTTGTTCAACAAACTCTCGACTTCAGACACAAGTTTGTTCCGGTATTCGGCGACGTTTTCCCGAGAAATATTGGCACGGCCGGTGTATAAAGCATCACCAGTGCTGTCGTCTGCATAGCAATTAATGTTACCGGTTTGCAACATCTCATTGATGTGCAGAAGAAACAGCGTTGGTGATAGCACGCAGCCTTGTGGAACACCAGCGTTAATAGGCTTGTAGTCGGAGCATGCACCGTCTACAACGACCTTGATGCTCCGATCTGCAAGAAAGCTGGTGATCCAATTGCATAATTTCTCGGGAAGCCCATAGGGAGGCAGCTTCGAAAGAAGCGCTTTGTGCCAAACCCGATCGAAGGCCTTCGCTATGTCCAAACTAACAGCCAACACCGCCCCCTTCGACTCCACTGCCTCCACCCATCTATGAGTTAGGTAACCTAGAAGATCACCAGCTGAGCGACCTCGACGAAAACCGTACTGGCGGTCACTAATCAGCTGGTGATCCTCAAGGTACCGCATGAACTAGCTGTTAATAATGGTTTCCATTACTTTTGAGAACAAGGGAGTGATAGCGATAGGCCTATAGTTGGACTGATCTGAGCGGTCGCTTTTGTTAGGGATCGGGTGCACCAAAGCTGTCTTCCATGAGTTCGGGACTACGACTAGGGAGTAGGAGTACCGGAAAAGATGCGTTAAAACCAGTGCCAACTCCGGAGCACGCGTCTTCAGCACAATAGGTGGGACTCCATCAGGCCCACTCGACTTGTTGACGTCCAGGGAGAGGAGTGCTTTATGCACCAAGCGCTGTTAAACAGCACTTCCTGCATGGACACCGCGGGATGGTCAGCGGTGTGTTCCCCCGTCATCTAGAGTCGAGTTGGAAGCAAAAAGAGAGCCTAGCAGATAGGCTTTCTCCTTTGCGCCATGGGCCAGTGAGTAGTCCACCCTGCGCAGAGATGGCTGACAGAAGTTCCCTTCGACAGCCTTGGCGAGAGACCAGAATGCAAGCGTTCCCGAAGGGAGGCGAACTAGTTTCTCGCCAATTCTGCCGATGTGCTCTGACTTTGCCTTGGCAATGACACTTTTAAAGGACTTGTAGGTGGAATTATACTTCTTTTTAAGAGCGCTGGTATTTACATCCCGGGACGTTGACGCGTCAGCCCAGGCCCGGTAGCACTCCTACTTATAACGTGATGCAATTTTACAGGAGTGACCAAACCATGGCGGAGTTCTGCCTCCGATAGGCACCATAGATGATGGAATAAATAATTCCATTCCCTGAAGTACCACATCAGCGTCAGCATCAACAGAATCAGCAACAACGTTGGGATCATCCGGCGAGAAGCAAACCAGCCCCCAAGGGTAGGGTGCAAAAAATGACCGGAACCCGTCCCAATCGGCCGACCTATAGTGCCAAATACGGCGGCAAGCTGCAGATCGCAACTGCGATGGGAGCGTTAGTGGCACCGTACTCCTGATCAGACAATGGTCCGAAGTGGCAAGAGGGGCATCGACGGAGACCTGATACCTGTCCGGATGAGAGGTCAACAGAAGGTCCAACAGGGAAGGTACATGATCCTCCACATCTGGGATCCGCGTAGGCGAAGTAACCAGTTGTGTCGGACCATATGCCAAGCCAGTCATAAACAGATCTCCCCGCATGATCGGTTAAACGAGAACCGAGCCATTCGGCGTGGTGGGCGTTAAAATCGCCAAGGATCACAATCTCTGCGGATGGGACCTGTTGTAACAAGGAATCTGTAGCCATTTGGACGTGGTACGATGAGTCGGTCTGTTTCGGCATTACCGCTATGGGACCTATAGAGGCACCCGTAGGACGCCGGGATAGGCGTCGCTGTCTGACGTATACGCAAACTCCAGCCCGAGGCACAAAGCAGTGTTCCAATTTGTACCCCGGGTAAGGGAGAGATACGAAGTACCAGCCGGAGAGGGCACCTGTGTCTTGGTTAGAAAGAGCAAGACCGGCTTCGCCGTCTCCAGATGGTAGTGGACAGCGTTAAGGTTGGAATAAAGTCCTTTGATATTGCAGAAATTCACGGAAAGCGTGGCAGGGTTTGTGATTGTCGCGCGGAGCAATAACTCCGCTTGCCCTGAGCAGGTTTCGTCTTAAGTGGAATCCCCCCCCCCTCCCCCCTCTTCCTTCAGAATACGCGGGGAGCCTGAGCACCCACGCTCAGAAAAAAAATTCCCATGAGGTGGGATAATAGTGAAGCACTGGCTTATAATAGTAAAAAACCAAATAAATAATGTTATATTTAGTACAGATATAGAGCTTGCCAGGTAGTGATCTGGGATATGTTTCATCCGAAAACCTTCTTTTTTAATCCGAAAAACTTGTCTTATTTTAATTGAAAAAATTGATAAATAAAATAAACTTTAATGATTATCTTTAAATTAAATAACGCCGCATTAATAAATCCATACCCAGGCGAAAACGGGGCGGGTCGCTAGTGCACCATACTTTTAAATAAAGCGTTAAAAATTCGTAGAAAGTTGGATTGAAACAACCTATGTTGCTACTTAAATAATTTAATTATAATATTAAAATAATATAAAGTAAAAAATCTGGATACAGGGTAAAATACTTTTATTAATAAAAAAACAATAAAAGGAACAAGCGAAAATCGTCAATAAAAGAATCAACAAAGAACGTACAACTAAAACTAATAATACAAAAAATGCTGCCAAATGTTTATCCTTATAATTAACAGCTGCCATATTATATATTCGAGCGATGACACGTAATAATGCTAAAATTGTACTGTCGATAAGAAAATCCACTATGTGGCATATCCAAATACTATAATGGACAAATGTTTGAACAAATTTCCAAATGTAAGTTGCTTTAAATAACATAAGCTCAATTATAAATCTAAAAATTTGATAGAAAATTTGAGAAAATGAAAGAATTTTTTTTATAAAATATACCACTATGGGATATGATTTTATAACTACCCTATAGGGGTCCAACATATGGTCCAATGTTTGAATACATTTGTCGCAATATATGTTGTACATAAGATGCGGTCTAAAACTTATTCTTAGACTTAATAATACTAAAATACAATTATTCACTATATATATGGCATTTCTATGACTTAGCGTGAATACTTCAAAGGAACATTTGTTTCTATCTTTGGTGTGTTAAGCGTCTCCGTTATCGGTGTTCTTGAATGATATCTGGTAGAAGATCCAGTCCTCGAGGAAAGAGGGCACGAAGGCCTTGCTCTTCGAGTACTTGACGGCAGGGTTCAGCTTCATCAGTTCCTGTTCATATAGCTCTAATGATTCTGGAGAGGTCGCTCCATTACCCTAGAAGTATAAAAACATACACATGTGGTTTCATAGATGTACCCTCCTTCTTATCGGAAGTTTCACAGTCCATCTGCAAGACATGTGTGTACGATAATATTGTGCAAAATAAATGATTTTTTTATAGGAAGGGTGACAAATGAGCACACAGTCGACCTGATGGTAAGTGGTTGCTGTGACCCATAGACATCTATCTACATCTATCCACAATAAAAGATCAAAATGCAGATGCATTGTTACCCGTGAGGACTAAGATGAAATGCCTCTTTTCTAGTAAAAAGGGTCTCCGGTTCTCTACACTCACCATACGAAACACAGCAGTGTCAAGCTGCTATTTTACGCTGGTATTCTGAGAGCGTGGTCCTACCCCGGTCGAGCCGACCCATTCGTGCTGCAACCACAACATAGCTGCAGCATGGTCCTACGGCGTAAAAAATTTCTACAAGATTTTTAAATTTTTATTAATTGTGGCACTATTATATACTATATAAAAATTTTATGCATTTACTCCGAAAAAACTTTCTAAAACTAAAAAAAAATCCTGTAGCATACCTAAATAAATTTAGGTAAATGAATTTATATTTTTTCCATATAGATATGATATTCGCAAAAATATGTAGCGACGGGAGTATTAAATATTAGTCTGCTACAAGTTCCACGTTATATAGAATGACCGCATTGCTTGTTTTACAAAATCAATAATAAATCTGTAGAAAACTCGTGTCTGTAAATCTATTTCCTGGAAAAAGCAAGTCCAGGAGACTAAAACCTCAGGAACTCCGATTTGACATAGCAGATATGTTTATAGAGCAATTTAAGGTTCGGTCACGTCTCAGGCGTTCGATGAGGCTTGCCGTCTTTCGACTACAAGTAGCGGAGATCATTACCAAAATGACAAGAGGCAAGCCGCCAGGTTATGACGGGCTCAGCATCGAGCATTTAAAATACGCAGGATTCCACTTGCCTACGGTTTTAAATATGTTTTCTTCATGTTGTACAAGTCACGCCTACTTGCCTGCGGACCTGATGAGGACTATAGTCATCCCGATTGTCAAAAATAACACTTGAAACGTTGGCTACTTGATAAACATTCAAAATTTCATGATGTTCAATTTAGCTTTAAAATTTAATTTAGCTACGAAAGCGCAATTCTGAGTTTCAAGCATGCAGTCCGGTATTACACAAATCGTCAAACTCCGGTTTACGCTTGCTTCCTCAATCTCCCCCAAGGAATGCCCACAAAGCATGGTACTAAGCCACCTGCATGTACCGACTTCCTGCATATTTTATCAGGTCGTAACGCCATCTAGTGGCTCATTTGCGTCGCTAGTACACAATAAAAATATGAAGATATGTATAAATACACATACATGAGTCATAAACTTGCCCGTGGGCTTGAGAATCTGGAAGGCCGCGCGCAGTATGGTGATCATGAACTCCCACAGCTCGCCGCACGCGGAATCCGATATGGGAATGTCGGTGAGGTCGCCGAATATGTAGTCCACCTTCTTGTTCTCGCTGATAAACTTGTTCACAGTTAGCATACAGTCTTCTACGATTATCTGGAATTATATATTAAAATTAACACATGTATGCCCACCATCACAATAACAGCTTATCCCATTATACCTAACTAGTAATACACAAAAAAAATCGAGTAACAAGGCTAATCTTATTCGCGCCGTAACTGGTTTACATACTGCGAGTTTGATGCAAATTATATTATATTAGATAATTTCTTATAACTTGACACTGGCAAAAGTACAACAGCAGGAGTCCATTACCAAAGAAGAAAAAAAAAGAAAAAGAAAATCCTACTAACCAGCGGACGACGCTCCGACAACAAAGCAATCGCATTGGATATCAAAAAGTCCTTTACATAACAAAACTTTTAATGCAAAATGGCGTTTACCTCGTAGTTAGGTCCCTTCCTTCTCTCCAGCACATCGCCGCAAATGGACTGCAAGTGCTTGTTGCATGCAGACATGACCAGTTCGTCGATCTCCAACATCCACACGAACTTCGGCTTCTCCTTCAGCAGTTCATACAATAGGGCACCGTCACCGCCACCTAAAGGAAGAAAAGACCATTTTTTTAAATTAACTTCAGGCTACAAATGGCCGAATAATATTAGCCGTGGTAGCTGAGGGGCTAAGCACTCTCTGTAAATATCACAGTAGGAGAGCATCCCGGGTTCGAATTCCGCCGGCACCAATGAAATTGTTAATTACAATTTTAAGTGGTGCTGATTTACCAAATGGTCGGCGGTGAAGGAAACATCGTGAGAAAAGCTGCATGTCTGATAAATAAGAAAAAAATTGTTATACAATGAAACGAATTCCATCTACCTTACGTCCACTTGAGGCGTTTGTATTTCCGTAGGGCAAACTAAAAAATTATACCACATTAGGTATATGTAAATGCACTTAGATACACATTACTAACTACTAACAAGCGTAATAAATATATTTGAGTGTGACTTAGCGGTCAGTCACTGCAGAGTCCACTATACCTGACGATGCCTAATGTAGAGGCGAAACACGTGTCGTATTGTCGTCAGTGGTGTGTCTTTCCTAGTGTAGTGGTTCTGGGATTAGTGGTGACGGGGATGGTGCACGCAATTGAGGGAAGGCGGGAGGTGCTGTTCAAAAGTAAATAAGACACATAATTTTATTTTATCTAGCGGATGTGCAAAGTAATTTTTACCAATTTTAATATATTTGAGTGTTTATTCTCATTCACTCTTTCTATTCTCTCTGACTTTATCTCAAAATGTTTTTGACCACTGCTAGTAAGCTCAAAGGTCAAAAAGGAAATTCTTTGTGCTCGGCGACCAAACTTTAGCAAAAGTCTGTTTATCTGAACATGACACGTGAACAACTGGTTTAAAAATATGGTTTTATACTCTACTAATGGCTTTTACTCTATTGTATTTACCTAAAATGACAATTTCTTTCCCTTCATAACTCTCCTTTCCTCTTTGCATAAGTGTCTCCGTGTAGATCAGATCAGCTTCTGATATATCTGAAATATAAAATAAAATATTTACACACATAGGTCTTCCTTTCTACCTAGGAATCTGTCTGGGTAGGTATGTCTTACCTATTTCTTTATATTTATTTATTTTGGCTTCCGGTCTGAAGCATATTGGGAGCCAGCATAATTACACATTGTGAGGTAATTCTCTTAAATAGTATCTTAATTCTCAGGCTACAGATACCGCCTCCTTTGTTTGAAGTCAGCATGTACTGCAGTAGCCACTTACTATCAGGTGGACTGTGAGTTTGTGTGTCACTTCAATTTTAAAGATAGTTATAAGTGTTGAAATAAATAAATGAATCGTTTTTTTAATTAATTTTCTAAAACCTCAGATATGAGAGGAGACATGTGCCCAGCAGTGGCACGTGGCCCATGTGTGGCACGTGTATAGGCTGTAACTTTAACTAACTTTAAATTAATTTTTAATTCTATTTTCGGTTTTAGGTCAACACTCAACATGCTACAACGAAATACCAAAATTCAAGGTCTGTAATGCATTCCATCTATGAGCTAGAGATCCGTGACATATGAACGGACAGTCAGACAGATGGCACATTAAAATTATTACGGCTCCATTTTAAACATGCCGTACTCATCCCCTAAAAAGTCATTTAATTCAGTTCGAATTCTTGTTTTGAATTCGTCTAAAAAAGCGACAATTATTGCACTCTAGAGTCGATAAGCCCCACATTCGGATGACAAATACTAATTACTGGACATGGTTCTTTCAACAAATATCTGTTTATCAACGGTTTTACAGTGTACAGTGTGCACAGGGTATACATGAGAGAAGAAATGGCGACCCAAGTACTACTGGTAGCTACATCCCTAATAAGAAACGGTTTTAATAAATCATTAATATACACATATAAATAAAAGTAAAGTGTATGTCTGCAATAATAAAATAACTGCCTTCTTAAACTCAGGGGGTTATTTGTATGCTATTAGGGCATAAATAACCATTTGTGAAATTTTTGTCTATGTATTGTTTACATCGTGTACAGGGTGAACACCGTAGACAGACAGACATCAGACATGATGTCTGATGTCTGTCTGTCTACAGTGTTCATCATGTCTGATGTCTGTCTGCCTGTCCGAGCTAATCTTCGGAATGGCAGAACCAATTGTGATAAAACTTCACAAACAGAAAGAGAGCCATCTTGGAGAGTGAGCTAACTATTCAAAAACTTTGTTTTTATAGGATAAGGGTGACAAACGAGCACACAGTCCACCTGATGGTAAGTAGTTGCTGCGGCCCATAAACATCTACATCTATCCTCTATTAAAAATCAAAATGCAGGTGCGTTGTCACCCGTGATGACTAAGATGGAATGCCTCATTTCCAGTAAAAAGGGTCTCCGGTTCTCTACACTCACCATACGAAACACAGCAGTGTTAGCTGCTATTTTACGCTGGTATTCTGTGAGAGCGTGGTCCTTCTCCTGTCGAGCCGATCCATTCATGCTACAACTATACTACTAATACAGCTGCAGCATGGCACTACCACGTAAAAAAACTTAAAAGAATTTTATAGTTTGATTATTATCTTAAAACTAAATAACGCGACATTAATAGATCACAACCAGGCGAAGCCGACGCGGGCGTTAATAAAAAATATAAAAAGATGTTTATGTAAAATTAATTAATCAGTCTTACTTTGCAAATCATCCAACACCAGCATGTTGCCGAGAGACTTCGAGTGCACGATTTGCACTCTCTGGAAGGGTGATTGTTCATCAAATAACACAGCATCAATGTCATACTCAAGAAGTCTTTCATCTGAAAACACATCAATATGTTATATATTATACTAGCTGGCCAGGCAGACGTCGTACTGCCTTTACTCTCTGACTTTGTCCTATAAAAATCCTTAAATTACCAATAAAAAATATTGAGGGTCACTTAAGGGTATAAGAACTATCATATCTCTCAAGTTGGACCAAACTGCACACAGTGTACAAAATTTCATTGAAATCAGTTCAATAGTTTAGGAGTTCATCACGGACAAACAATGTGACACGTAATCTATACAAATAAATAAAATTGAAGTGTCTGTTTGTAATGTGAAAATTACCGCTTTTTACTAAATGCTTATGAAAGTATATACGGTACTAATAACAAAAATACAAGTTTTTGTCTGTCTGTCTGTCCGTCTGTCTGTCTGTTTGTTCCGGCTAATCTCCGAAACGGATGGACAGATTTTGACAGGATTTTCACTGGCAGATAGCTGATATCACAAGGAGTAACTTAGGCTACTTTTATTTTAGAAAAAGAATTGGGGTTCCGCGCAAAAAAATAAAACCCCAAATAACACTCGGGCGAAGTCGCGGTGAACAGCTAGTTTTTATATATAAAGATAATAATATCCATTAATTATCACACCCTTTTAAAAGAAATCCAATATGTTGTTGCCTTTTTACACAAAATTTGATTTATTTATACAGAACAGACAGAATAACAACTAAACGCTCTGGAAATTTTTCCAAGTTTTCATAATAATTAACACTTTAGCTGAAACATTTAAGACCCTCAAATTGTTTTTAAATTTAGCGTCATTGTGATATACATACTTTGCATTTGCAATTTTGTAATGAATATAATGCATAAATTATGTATATGCAAAGCGTGTTGTGCCGTGGTAGCTCAGATAGCTAGTGCTCGCTGTAAATTTCACAGTGCGCGAGCAACCCGGGTTCGATCCCCGCCGGCACCAGTGAAATTGTTAATTGCAATTTTAAGTGCTCATTTACCACGTGCTCGGCGGTGAAGGAAAACATCGTGAGGTAACCTTCATTCTGAAAAATAAAAAAATATATTTTGAAGACAAGTTTGCCAACACGCATTGGGGCTGCGCGGCGGACATTTCCTTGCCCTCTCAGAAATGAGGGGAGGCCTGTGCCCAGCAGTGGGACGTATATAGGCTGTAATACATTCCAACATATCCTGAGTGGCTTTCCTTTTTGGAGCAGAGCAGCATTAACGGGTGGATTATCTTTATAATACATCTTATGCATTACTCCTAATTCTCTAGTTCTTTGTTATTATTATTTATTTTCAATATTATTGTTTGCTTTTTTGCTTTTTTTTTGTTTAATTTTACGATATCTTTAAATAAGGAGTTAATGTCTTGTTTCATGATTTCTATGTATAATGTTTTTTGTGTTTTTTTTTGTTTGTTTCTATGATTACTTAAATGTTATGTGTTTTATGTAATCCGCTTGAGTGTGCTGCATGTGCCAAATAAAATCTGTTTCTTTCTTTCTTCTTCGTTTCTAACAACTTTAAAGCGTGTTACACGTGTCTAGCCACTTAATGGAAAATTACTCTTCATTTAAAACATGATCATATCTTATGTCTTTTATATTATTATGGGCATTACAGAAGTTTAAAAACTACAAGACTTAATTTTGTATAGGTGATAAAAAAAAATTAAAAGAGTTTCATTATTTCAAAACGCATTATTTTTGTTAATTATATTTGCATTTCCATGTAGTGGGTATGTAATATAATGTAAATAAGTGTCCTATGTAAGTGCCGGTACAAAGGACGGCTGATAAAAAGATGAAGATACTTATATAATGAAAGAAAAGTATTTTTTTTTTCATTATAATCCCCTTCCTCCTTTTCACATCATGAATATACATTACAGCCTATCAAAGTCCGCTGGTGACCATAGGCCTCCCCCATAGTTTACTTCATAGGAGGGATATTCGTCATAATTGCCATGCTTTGAAAACGGGTTGGTAACCGCAGTTTTCAATTTTTTTTAGTTGCTATGAGGAAGATGCTCCTGCCAATCTCCTTGTTTAGTCCCTTGTATCGTCTCTTACAACACGTAAGAATAACTTTAATATAAATGTCTTATATCCATTGAAAAAATATTGTTTGCTCTTCAAATTGGTTTTCTCTGGCCACCTTCATCTCACTGTCATTAGAAAATCTCCATTCCTGTAAATTCTTTTTAAATTTTAGAGAAAAGGGAGAAGACATTGGGCATTGACAAATCCGAAGAGAGTTAAGAAAACATAAGAAGGTATATTACAAAATAATAAATAATATAAAATAATAAATAAGTTATTCTTAATAAATAAATAACGACATATTTCTCTCTAATTAGTGCAGCGATAGGAAATAATATGGTAAACAGCAATTTAAAGAACACTATATCACCGAAGCGAATACTCTTTATTAAAATGTGAAGAATATATAAATTATGTAATTCAATAAATAAAAAGTATCTGAATTGTGCATATAATAAATACAACTTTATAGCAATATGTACAGATAGTTATTAAGGGATATAATTTTAACACTTTCACTGTCCGGTTTTCAGACACAATAGTAAGACAATAGCAATGAATTATATGTAGTGCACGGGACAGCCAATGGGTAAATATCAACAATTGCTTTCACTGTTTTTGAGAAAAAATACACACAGAAAAATGTCAGCAATACTGAGGCACAAATAATGGAATAAGAAAAAATAGGAAAAAAACAATTTAAAAAATTTTGGTAATATAATTTTCTTCTAAAATATGTATAGACAGAGATGTGTTGTTTTTTCTTATAAAGATTCTACCATTTCTGGTCCATTCATATTTAAACTCTTTTAGTTTTGCTGTGTTACAGCATTTCTTGACCAGTTGTTTTTTTAAATAAGTAAGGTGCTCAATTACGAAAATGGGTTTGACATCTAATAGGTAATGTGTTTTATTTGTGCACTAGATACTATATCATCCTTTATCATTATCACACAAGACCTAACTTTTGCTATAATATTCCAAAGGTGTCCTGGTAATTTTTAAAGCGTCAGTAGCCTAATGACAGGACGCGGACCGCGAACTCGAAAGGTTGTTGGTTCGAATCCGCCATTCGACTACTGTCATGAACCACTTCTAACACAAGCATTTTAAGATTACCAGAAGTGGTTAAAGGGAATATTAGTAATGTTTAATAACATTACTAATATTTAAAAAAAATTTAGATCCCTTAAGGCCCTACTTGCAAACCTGAGTGGTGTGGACTAAGTTAATGGATAAAATAAAAAGAACAGGTGTTATTTATATCGCAACTGAGTCATACAACCACTACTACTACACTAGTAAAGAGGTGAGTCAACGATAAGGAACCTAAGGTCAGTTGCGGACTTATCAGCCACCTCTTATATATATTATATATAATGATGAATAGCAAGTTGTCAGACTTCATAAATCAGTTGTTACACATACCATGTTTGAGATGGATCCCCACACAACATTCTTAAATAATACTATTAGCAACAATTGATGTAAAATAATTACTTCATGATGTAAATTTATAATGGAAGATGTATTTAAGTTTTAGTTTTAGCTGTTCATTTCTAAATTCATAAATGTGATAATGTATGTTACAATTTATAATAATTTGCTACAGTAAATCATAGGGTTATTATATATGTATATATATAATTTTGTAATCAGTCTACTCATGAAAATGTAATGATTAGCAATTTAAAAATAGAATATTAGATATATGAATAAAATGTTTAGAATTTTGCTTACCTGATGTTGGATAATACCTGCTAAATAAGCAGCGTTTAATGGGAGCATAAGCTTGAGATTTTGTAAATGTGATGTACTTTTTCAGCTGACCTTCCAATACCCTCGCAGACTATTAAAAAATCAATAAAAAGGAAAGTAAAATAAATGAAATAAGAATGCAGGTAATTTATCTAACATGCACTTAATTTTAGGATGTTCAGACTAAGAGAATAAGGTTGAGCGTCTTCTCAGATAATTACTGGAAGATTCATTAGTGTACAAGACTTAATGATATGGCTATATCAAAATGTGCAAATATGAACATGCATTTTCATTCATAAATAAATGTGAGTGACAGATGTGTGTAATCAAATTTAAATTAAAAGAAAATTGTAATATTGATGTATACAATATCTATGTTCCTATTGTTATAAATTATCTTAAGAAAGAATGTAGTTCATTTTAAGTAAGTCTCTCAAGTTTAATCTCACCATTCAATCTATAAACACATTATAGATTCCACAAAACTGCTTTCAGTATTTATTTCTATGATAATTAACATAAAGATTATTTAAGCCAGAATAGAACATAATGAAAAATCAAGGATGTGCATCTGGAAATAACGAAGGAAATGTTATTTAGTTTTTTTTTTTATAAAATATTATTGTAATCATATGTATGGTAATAAAAATGTCAATTTGCTAAACATTTAATTAAAACAGCCCAGATATATAGTTTATAAAAAAAACTAAACAAATATTGCAAGCAAAGCTACAATTTTACAAATGCATATGTCACTAAAATAAAATAATGTTAGCCAGCCAATAAAAATATAACATAACAAAAACAGTTTTATTTAAAATTGGTGTTATAAGGGGTACAACAAACGTGACAACAAACAGCCTTCTGAGCTAACCTGAACTAGTAAGGTAAACATCAAATTTATAGCCCCTTTTGATTGTTGGCAATAATTTGAGTCGTTTGCAGTCCAAGGACACTCTTACTGAATTTTCCAGTAGTTTAGAGCACTAGAAAACAAGATTTTACGCTCAACCTTAATTCTATATATTATTATAAATAAAATAAATATTTTTTATAGTAACTGCAGTGTTTAAAAGTGAAATAGGATATTTTCATGTTAGTGTAATACAAGCTTAGGAGGATAAGTAATAGTATATGATATATATTATGATATTTTTGAATTCTGTAAAATATGATGTGGCTTTTAGTTAAATAATTTTACAAGAATGTTGTCATAGAAATTAATATTTAGTTTTGATATAAATCAATTAGAACTTTTGATTGAATAAAATGACGATTATGTAAATGCATTTTATATTAACACCTTTTTGAAAATTGGTTACAAAGATAAATAGATGTCAGAAATAAGTTCACCTTGAAGCTGATTAGTGGCTCCTCATTATCTTCCTTGTAATACTCTATGTTAATAGTTACTAAGCCTCGGTCAAATAATCTCACCGACACCGTAGTATCCTTTTTACCAGTTAATACTTTCAAAGAACCTCCATCCACTTTTATGTCAGCGGCTAATATAAGGTTTGGTATATAATCTTTTAACACAGTTTCCAGCTGTCCAAATACAGCTTTTTGACCACTCTCATCACCAAGTCGAGCAGGGTCTACAGAAAAATCTAATAACAACGTTTGTACCGACATCCTGTCTTTTAACGCTGATTGTTTTACTAAATTCGAAAAATTGGGACGGATGACACCAGCAGAAGGCCAAAGAATTTTATTTACTGAGTTTTACCTGAAGGCCTGAACCCTGAAGCTTTTGAAAAGTCGAATTTCAGTAATAATGTCATCTGTCAATTTACGTGACAATTACGGTTTGTTCTTGTTTTTATTATTCGCTCGAGGGAGCAGGCAAAGGAACTAAGCCATACAGCCTTGTCTTTTTTATGTTATTCTTCATAGTTCACTGCTTCACAATATATAATATATATATAACAAATATAACATATATATAATGCGTCACATTGTGCAGCCCTTAGGAGATTTTGACGGCAACTTGAGCCAGCAGACAGCTGACAGTTGGCGATGGTATCTAAAGGAGTCTATGCAGACAAACAGCTTATCTTGAGAATCCATCACCATCAGAGCACTTGTTTCACCGTTTCACTAATGGTTCACATGCGCAGACAGTTTATACATAAGATTGCATCACTTTTACATATCAAAATCCACTTCAAACTATTATTTAAACTATAATAAAGGAGCAGCAAACCACCGCCGGTCAAGTTCCCGCCAAAACCTTGAGAGATTTTGATGGCAACTTGAGCCAGCTGACAGCTGACTATTGGCGATGGTATCTCTAGGCACCTACGCAGAGAGACACCTTATCTTGAGAATCACATCACCATCAGAGCACTTGTTTCACCGTTTCCACTAATAGTTCACATGCTCAGACATTTAATACACAAAATTGCACCACTTTTACGTATCAAAATCCACTTCAAACCATTACTTAAGCAATAATATAGGAGCAGCAATCCGTCGATCAAGTTCCCGCTAAAGCTTATATAAGCTGGCGGAGATAATATTCTTTCTAGTCTCAGATCGTAGAGGGAGAATAAACTACAGAGGCGTCACTAAAATAACAGGAAATGTGTGAGAGAAACACACTTATCTGTGTTACGTTAAGAGCGAGCCAGTCAAACAATTTTTTTTGTTTCTTTCACCGTACGCGGTTTCCTTTGTTTGGAACAAAGGTACTATGTTCCAATCAAAAAGCTGTCGTCAACTGTTTTAGTGGTTTTATGTGATTATTTGCAAAATAATTGACGTTTGAGTTACGTGACGTTTAAAGTTTTTTGTTTTATACAGAGTTTATGTGAAATTATGGTGCGTTGTTGTGTGTTAGGTTGTAAAAACCGACCAGAACGAAAAATACCAAACATAACCTTTCATCAGTAAGTAAGCTTATTTTTAGATTAGCTGATTAATTTTCATTATCTCTGGTGTATAATTATCCGGAAATATACAATAAATTACTAAAATAACCTACAACTTTTTTTCGTCTTATACGACTAAATTAAGAAGCGTTCTTTTATTAAAAGGTCACCATTTATTTTTTGTCGTTTCAAATTTGCTGTATTTTTTTTTGGAGTTTATGGCCTGGTATCTAGACCTTTAGGCCAAGTCTTAAGTATTTTTATTCGGTTTATTGTAATTTTCCCACTCCTTCATAGTATACTGCTTCACAATATGTTGATGCGTCACATTGTGCAGTTCTTGGGAGATTTTGGCGGCAACTTGATCCAGCAGACAGCTGATAGTTGGCGATGGTATCTAAAGGTGCCTATGCAAACAAACAGCTTATCTTGAGAATCCATCACCATCAGAGCACTTGTTTCACTGTTTCCACTAATAGTTCACATGCGTAGCCACTTAATACACAAAATCGCAACACTTTTACATATCAAAGTCCACTTCAAACCATTATTTAAACAATAATACAGGAGCAGCAAACCGCCGCCGGTCAATTTCCCGCCAAAACTCCTCAAATTTGCTGTATAATCACTACAGGGATACCAGTGCTTGGCAAAATAATTCCTTAATTTCTTACGACTGAACAAATTTTTTAACCTTAATTTAATTACCAATATAATTTATTTATTTTAGATTTCCTAAAGAAGCAAAAATTATAAATATGTGGATTGTAGCTACTGGGAGAAAGGAATGGCAACCTGAGAAGAATGACCGCATATGTTCGAAACATTTTGTGTCGCGTTATTTTCGTAAAACGCACAAGAGGACATATTTGTTGCCGAATGCGATTCCAACACTTTTTATTCCAGTGAGTAACCTATTTTGATTTGTTTTGATAACTATTGTTGTAATTTTGAATTTTATAGGGATATTTTTTCTACATTCTTAATATTTATTTTTTCAGGATATTATTGATGAGCGACCTTGTATTACGAAACAACTGAAAATCGTCGAACCAGGACTTGAGGTAAAATAATAATATATAAATTATAATACAAGTACGCTTAGTTGAAAATTATGTATGACGCTGACATTGGGCATCAAGCACTCGCCTGCGGCTCGTGTCGCACGATCCTAACTAAACCTATGGTTTCATATTATTACAACTGCAACATTATTTCACTTTACTTTGAGCTAGGTGGTAGCTAGCAGGGCGTTTTGTGTTTACAAAAACAGGTAAACATTTTATTAAATGAGTATCTCTTTGAGTTTTATATCTTTTTGAGAAACATTCAATAGCAATGCTATAAACTTATGTAGTCTTATATCTTAATTAAAAGCTACAGCTATAAAAAGAATATAGTACATCGTAAATTGTAAAATCATCCCCATTTTTAGTTTAAATATGTACTACCCTCCCACCCCTTTCTGTAGCCAAGCGGTCATGCTTCCAGTATTATTTTTCAGTTTGAAGGAAGAGACAGTAGGTATAATTACATGTGTACATATTCATATTTCACCTTCATTCATTCTCAGAGACGACAATGCACAAGAATTTCCTTTTGTTTGTACTTGGTTGCAGTTACTTATTACCATGCGAACTCGTTTGTCACTTTAATCTCTATATACATATATATCAATTGCTGTCCGATAGTCTCGTTAAAATTCGAAAACGGCTCGAACGATTTTGATGAATTTTTTTGTGTGCGTTTGAGTGAGTCCCTGGATGATTTAGAAGAGAAACACAAATGGACCCGGCAGCCGGCGCTGTTGTTGAGATCCAGAAATCACCCGTGCGAAGCCGAGGCGGATCGCTAGGTTTACATAAAAATAGTTTTTTTCATTACATTGAGTATTTAAAAATTGCCTCTTTATTCGCAGGTAAGAAGCAATAAATAATGTCGTCTCCGACCAAACACTGTTTCAAGAAATAGACGTGGTACAAACGTCGCATGTATAAAAGGCTACCGGTGACAAAATGGCTGCCCGATTATAATTCTGAAAAGGCTGTTGCTGACTTCATCGCTTTTCGTTTATTCGTAAAAATTATAAATGTTTGCAATTCATTACAGCCCTTCACAAGTCCATTGCTGAACATAGGCCTCCCCCATAGAATGCCACAAAGCACGGTCCTGAGCCACCTGCATCCATCGACTTCCTGCATATCTTACCAGGTCGTCACTCCATCTAGTGGGGGGACGCCCTACACTTCGCCTGCCGGTACGAGGCTGCCACTCGAGAACCTTTCTTCCCCATCGGTTGTCGGTTCTTCGAGCTATATGGCCGGCCCATTGCCACTTCAGCTTACTAATCCGTTGGGCTATGTCGGTCACGCTTGTTCTACTGCGGATATCCTCATTTCTGAGTTTATCACGCAGAGAAACTCCGAGCATAGCCCTCTCCATAGCTCGCTGAGCGACCTTGAGCTTCCTCATCCGGCCAGCAGTGAAGGACCACGTCTCAGTTCCGTATGTCATCACTGGCAACACGCACTGGGTGTACAGTCTCGTTTTCAAGTTTTGAGGTATACCTGACGAGAAGATGTGCCGTAATTTCCCGAACGCTGCCCAACCGAGTTGAATCCGTCGATTGACCTCTCGGTCGAAGTTGGACTTACCTAGTCGGACTATTTGTCCCAGGTAAACATACTCGTCAACAACTTCGAGCTTAGTGTTCCCAACAACTACCGGCATAGGTGTGACATGGACATTAAACATGATCTTTGTTTTGTCCATGTTCATCTTAAGACCTATCCGTTGGGAAACACTATTGAGGTCATTGAGCATAGTGCTTAGGTCCTCCAGCGATTCTGCCATAAGGACTATATCGTCGGCAAATCGAAGGTGAGTGATGTACTCGCCATTGATGTTGATACCGTATCCTTTCCAGTCCAGAAGCTTGAAAACATCTTCCAATGCAGCGGTAAAGAGTTTCGGGGATATGACGTCACCCTGTCTTACACCTCTCTGCAATTGGATAGGTTTCGTACTCTGGTTCTGTACTCGGATAGCCATCGTAGCCCTACTGTACAAGCACTTCAACACTTCGATATACCGACAGTCAACTTGGCATCGCTGAAGGGACTGCAGCACCGCCCACATTTCGACGGAATCAAAGGCTTTCTCATAGTCTACATACGCCAGACATAGTGGCAAATTGTACTCCTCGGACTTCTGTACAATTTGCCGAAGGGTATGTATGTGGTCTATGGTGCTAAAGCCTTTTCGGAAACCGGCTTGTTCGGGAGGCTGGAAGTCGTCAAGTCTGCGCGCGAGACGATTCGTAATGACTCTCGAAAACAGCACGTAGACGCGGCTCAGAAGGGAAATCGGTCTGTAGTTCTTCAAGAGAGCGTTGTCGCCTTTCTCGAAGAACAAGACCACCGCACTTCTGCTCCACGCCTCCGGTGTAATGCCACCATGGAGGACGGAATTAAAGAGCTTCTGAAGGACTTCAAGTACCGGTTTTCCACCCGCTTTCAGAAGCTCCGCTGTAATTCCATCCTCGCCTGGGGCCTTGCCGTTTTTAAGGTGCTGGAGAGCCATTCTAATCTCGCTCAGACTGACGTCCGGGATATCATCGGAATAATGTCGGATAAGACTCGCTCTTGGATCGTTACTCACACTTGCGTGCGGCTCCAACGATGACGTGTACAGCTGCCCATAGAACCTCTCAATCTCACTCAAAATCTCAGGTGCCCCGGAAACGATGCTGCCACATTCTGT